TCACCCTTTGTATTATGTATTGCTGACCAAAACCTGCAATTCTCTGTCTACACAACTTTTTCTCTGGGTATTCCAACATATTTTATGTCAAATTTTAACTGAACTCTACCAGATAACCCACATTATCTTAATTGAAAGAGCAAACATGAACCAAATTTAACATACAAGCCTTCATTATTTCTAGAAATTGATGGATAAAACATTAGATGAAAAAATATACTCTGCTTTTGAAAACAGAGAAATCTGAACAGATAGCAACTAAAATCCTGTTAAAAATAAAATGCTACTGGCTTCATCCAGTATTCTTTTTTAAGAACCAGAGTGATGAAGGGGAGAGAAACTGCGAATCACTGACACAGAGGCTGGAGTGGGAGGTCTCTCAGGCCCAGGAATATTTCTGCTTGTCAGAGGCTAAAAAGATTATTTATTGTTTCCTTCCTAAACCCAGCTCCAGTGCCACCTGTTCAGAATTTACTATAAAGCTGTTAAACAAGACGAGAACTTTGATGCTGACTGTGAAAACAAGTTTCACTGTATCTGACCCGAGCAGCACTCACTGCTGATCCAGAAGCAAAGGAATTTGATTTTTTTCTTTAAGCACAGCTATCTTTTTACCTTTATAAGCTGTTTAAAAAATGTAAATAAAATAACTCAGTGGACAATAGAGGGCATTCATCCCCCAGAAAGACAGCCGCCACCCTTAGACATGAAATATCGCAGCACATTAAGTCATGAGACCCCGCTAATCAAAGCTGACAGGGCCCTGAATGTGATTTCTGCTGAGACTTAGCGATATCATGGGGCACTGAAGCATGCACAGCCTGCCAGACTGCCCCTGTTCATGTGACAATGGCTTTTATTCCCCAAAGGGGCCTGCGAGTGACAAGAGTCCCCTTTGTCTCCGGGCTCCCGCATTCGCAGTGCAAGAGAGGTTCATTCAAGCAGCCCCAGACACTCTTTGAAAGGCTGAAGTGTAACATAAGATGACCATGAAACACTAGCTTGCCTTCTGCCTACCCCTCATTCTTCTCCAGCACAGCCTGGCCTATTCAGGGCCTCTCGCAGCCCCGCTCGCGCTGCATTACCCCCGGTCTGCTGAATCCCAGCATTGTCCTGCCGGCACCCAGCGCTCTTCCACGCCACAACGGGGTGTCCTTCCACACCAACCCAGTGTCCTTCCACACCAACCCAGTGTCCTTCCACACCAACCCAGTGTCCTTCCACACCAACCCAGTGTCCTTCCACACCAACCCAGTGTCCTTCCACACCAACCCAGTGTCCTTCCACACCAACCCAGTGTCCTTCCACACCAACCCAGTGTCCTTCCACACCAACCCAGTGTCCTTCCACACCAACCCAGTGTCCTTCCACACCAACCCAGTGTCCTTCCACACCAACCCAGTGTCCTTCCACACCAACCCAGTGTCCTTCCACACCAACCCAGTGTCCTTCCACACCAACCCAGTGTCCTTCCACACCAACCCAGTGTCCTTCCACACCAACCCAGTGTCCTTCCACACCAACCCAGTGTCCTTCCACACCAACCCAGTGTCCTTCCACACCAACCCAGTGTCCTTCCACACCAACCCAGTGTCCTTCCACACCAACCCAGTGTCCTTCCACACCAACCCAGTGTCCTTCCACACCAACCCAGTGTCCTTCCACACCAACCCAGTGTCCTTCCACACCAACCCAGTGTCCTTCCACACCAACCCAGTGTCCTTCCACACCAACCCAGTGTCCTTCCACACCAACCCAGTGTCCTTCCACACCAACCCAGTGTCCTTCCACACCAACCCAGTGTCCTTCCACACCAACCCAGTGTCCTTCCACACCAACCCAGTGTCCTTCCACACCAACCCAGTGTCCTTCCACACCAACCCAGTGTCCTTCCACACCAACCCAGTGTCCTTCCACACCAACCCAGTGTCCTTCCACACCAACCCAGTGTCCTTCCACACCAACCCAGTGTCCTTCCACACCAGAACGGGGTGTCCTTCCCATGCCAGATCAGTGAGGGAGATCAGATCAAAACATCCAGCACCCTTCCCACATCAAAACACAAAGTCTCCTTCCCACACCAAATCAATCCAGAGTCCTTGCACCACTTCCACTGACACTCAAGTGCCCTTCCCACACCAGAAACACTCACCACCCTTCCCACACACACCAAATCCACCAGCACCCTCCCCTCACCAAATACTCCCAGTGCTCCTCTCACACCAAATCCACTGCCACCCACTGCTATTCCCACACAGCACTCACCCAGGGCATTGCCATGGCACATCCTCCCACACCCAGGACTCTTCCCACATGGTGTTCCCCTGTTCCCCAGCCCTCTTCCCCACACCGTGGCCCCTGGCTCCCATCGCCCTTCCCAGGCCGCATCCACCTGGCAGCGCAGCCGGGCTCTGGCACCTCTGGCACAGCCCAGGTCGAGGGTGGCATGGAGCCACGGCTGAATAAGGAGGGGCTCTGGGAAGGGGACAAGGCTGCTGTGCTTCACTGGAAGTCCCTGAGCAGGAGTGCTGAACCCTCCCACCTCCCCATGCCATGGGGGCCACAGTGAGCAGAGCTGGGAGCCCCTTGCCCTGCTCAGAGCTCTCACTGCTGCTCCAGCAGCTGCACACTCCCGTCACAAAAGAAACACTGGACAGCCTGGACACCTCAAAACCCTGTTCCACACCCCTGCTTCTTCCCAGCTCCCAGTGTGTGCCTGTTTCCTGCATCCCGGGAGCACAGTGCCATCCGCTGGCGCCGCTGCCCTGCCGGTGCCGCTCCCCTGCCGGCGCCTCCTCAGCACAGCCCGTGCTGCTAAACCAGAACCAGAACCAGAACCTGGCCCTGGTCCCTCTCCTGTGCCCCGTGCTAGCACTGCCCCAAGCCCCGGGCTCAGCCTCCGACCAGCTCCTCCAAATCCAGGCGTAAGGGAGGGCCAGAGGTGCTCCAGCAACAAACAGCTGCCACGGCCATCCCCAGGGAGCTCTGGGATCTCGTTTCCCAAAGGGAACGTTCTCCAAAACCTCCACGAGGAAAAGGAGCCTTAACTCTCAGGGCAGAGGACATTCATGGGACAGACAAAGGGAATAACCTGCTCTAGAATAAATCACAGAATCTCAGACTGGTTTGGACTGAACGGGACATGAAAGCCTGAGCAGTTCCACCCCTGCCCTGGGCAGGGACACCCCCACTACCCCGGGGTGCTCCCAGCCCTGTCCAGCCTGGCCTTGGAGACTTCCAGGGATCCAGAGGAAGCCACAGCTTCTCTGGGCACCCTGTGCCAGGCCTCACCACCCTCACAGGGAGGGATTTCTTCCTGATGTCCCACCTAAATTTGTCCTCTTTTAACTTAAAATAGTTGCCCTTATCCTATCACTATCTGTCATCTCCCTCTTTTTTATAAGCCCTTTTAAGTACTGAACTGTAAAATGCCTGGTGGTTTATTGCAAATACAGCGAGAAAATAAATAATGACAGTCAGGATTTGTATGGATTTCTGTCCTTTCAGGTGAGAGACTGAAGAGACAACAATCCTACATGTGAGTCTGCTTCACTGCCCCAGCTGAGAGATGGGGAAGAGAAGGACAGATGGACACCCACAGCCACTGTAATGCTCAGAGCCCCAGCTCCAGGTTGTTTGGAGTTAGCCTGACTTAGGTATGTTCAGTCCCCAAGGGCACTAGAAGACTTCCTGTTATTTTTGAAGAGAATTCTATTCATCCTTCTGGCAACAAAAGAAAGCTAGAAGAAAGCTATGGCTGAGAGTAAGGAGCTGTTGAGGTTTCCTATTCTTCACACTGGGAATGAGCAGTAAATGATCTCTGCTATGAAAGAAAAAATAGAACAATTCCACCAACAAAATCTAGAGCTTTCCAAAGCTGGATCTAGAAAGAACTATATGTCTAATGAAAACAACAAATATCTTTGGAGCCATGAACCTAAAAATCCCACTTGAATATAATCTAATAAGATACTTCTTCATGTTGTAATTGTCAAATATTCACATTCAAAAACTTTTTGAGCACAAGACTAAGTGTCAAGCAACTACCTGGGAACTTCAAACCAAATACAAAATATCTTTGTTTTATTATTGAAAGAAATCAAAAAGAATGGGATTCCTGGGAATTCAGCTGTACTGAAGAACAGTATTTTAAGAATGTTATTTGAGTTTTACTTTTGCTAAACAAGGTCAAATAGTGGTATACCATCCAAATGAACCATGTTTCTGGGAGAAAAACAAACCCTTTTGGCCTCTAAAAAAGAAAGACCACAGGATAGTTGGGAGGGACCTTCAAGACCATTCAGTTCCACCTCCTGCCACGGGCAGGCACACCTCCCTCTACCCCAGGTTGCTCCAAGCCCTGACCAAGCTGGCCTGGAACCATTCCAGGGATGGGGAAACCATGCTGGAGATGCTGCAGTGCTGCAAAACTGGGTAAAGCACACCAGATCCTGGGTCTGGTGAACTCCTGCCTGTGTCAACCACCCAGACACAGACACAGGAGGTGTTACACATTTGGAATATGAGCCTCAGTGGTAAAGAGGCTTCAAAACCCCTCCAACTGAGACCTGAGGCTGGGGCAATCACATGGGACCAGTGAGGTTTTCCAAGCCCTCTGGTTGCGGGTGGGGTGAAGACAGCACAGCAGGTCTATGACCAAGGACTAAAATCCCTTCTTTTCTTGCTAAGGACAAGGAAAACAAAAAAGAATACAACCATTCCTTAAATTCTCCAAATTAAAGCCTATTAACCTATTACTTTCAAAGGTCAGCAAAGGAGTGGAGGAGGATTCCCTGGCATTCTGTCTTCAGTCAGCAGAAAAGCCGAGGGTGAGCCCAGGCTGCTTCTGTACACGGGAAGAGCACGCTAAGCTGCAGCATTCACAGCGTGCAGCTGCTGGGGTGAAATGGAATTCACATTGAAATGCATCCAAAAAAAAGAAGGACACAGACATTTACAGAGAGCTGGCAAGGTAAATTTATTTGAAAGACATGACCCACCTCTTTGTAATTGCCCTGGAGATAAAGATGACTGACATGTTCAAGCAAATAGTTCCGGTCTGCTGTGTGGAGCTGGTAAATGCTAATCAGGGGGTCAAGCAGATTAGCTGGGCACTGGGAGAGCATTCCGAGCACACGGGCCTGCAGCTTCTTCAGCTTGGTGCCAGACTTCAAAAAACAACCAAAAAACAATCAAACACAGGTTTGGTAAAGATGGCTGTGATTCAAGGGTGGTTGAAAATACAGCTTGTTTAAACAGAGTAGGCGAATTCCTCTGGAAGGGATTCTCTGATTTCCCCACGAAGTCTGCAGGCAGAAATCACAACAACATGATACACATTTTTTCCACAGCACCCACTTTAAGAACATGAAATGTTTGTGGGGTAATTCTGGAGAAGGGATAGCGCCTTGTGCAAAAGTAAAATCTGAAACTGGAAAAATGCCCTCTGTGCTAACAGAGCTCTTCAGAAATTCTCCCCTCTAGCTCCCAGCAGAAAATCTTTGAATCCAGTGACTCCCCTCTAGGGAGATCTCACCTATCAGGCATAAGAATTCCATTTTCATTCCCAGGCTTGCTGCTGGGTGCATGAAGGGTAGGGAAAGCAAAAGCACCATCAAAAGATGCACAGACACAGGTATTTAAATCCTTGTGCTCTCACATGATCATTCACTCATGATACAGGAATTTCAGTGCCAGTTGCACTTTGCCAATCATGTAATGGCAGAGCTTAACATGTAACCGAGCCATTTGGAAAAATGGGAAAGGAAGCAACACAAATATAAAGGTATCCTGCAGTTCAGAGCCAAAAGAGCACAGAAAAGAGACAATCTCAGTAGGTCAGAATATCTGAAGGCAGAAGGAATGGTAAACATTAGGACATATAATCTGATGACCCAACTTTACAGAACTAATCATTCAGCTGCTGAAAAGGCAGGCTGTTCCCATTTTCTGCATTCCCACCATATGGCAGGAATTAAGCAATCCTACAGTAACTGACTTCTATTTGCAGAGCTGGAAGAACACACAGAGCAGATTTCTACAACTGGGTTTCTCCTGACAGCAGGGATGTGGGTTCCAGTGGGAGAGCCTCCAGCCTGGAAAGGCTGCAAGAGCAATGCTGGATCAAAGTGGTTTGATCTGGAGAGATGAAATCCCAACTCTGGAAGGGAAACAGCTCTGGCAGCACAGCTCCCAATACGATTTCATTTTCAGGTCAGCATGCCACAGATAACATCTCACTGTGTTTCACACCTTGTCACACACTGTATAAGGCTACAGAGAAGATACTGGACTTTGGAAAAAAGTGAAACTAGAGATACCTGAGGAACGTTACAATCAATTGCTCTCTCATCTCTCCCAGCTCTCTTGCTTTCTCTTTTTCTAACCTGTGGGACAGCAGGATGTGCTTTTATCCAAAGCTGCAGCTCCGTGGTGATGCAATACCCCAGGGAATGCCCTTTCCCCTTCCAATCACTGCTGCTCTCCAGCATGGCCAGGAGTCCTGCCAAAGGGTCCTCCAGTCTGGCAAAGCCCCGCCTGATTTCTTCCTTGAGCTGCCGAGATACAAAACCACATTGTCATGTACAAAAAGATTAGTGAATCCTCCCTTCCCCCAGCTGAACACAAAGCTTTATTTTTTTAAAATTTAATCTATTCAGAGAGGTAACTGTTGCTATTCAGCCACCATCCGCGCCTCCAGTGACTTTTCATGTCATTACAGATTCCTTCATGGCTCACTGCACCTCAAACCCAATGGGAAAAGCAGCAATTGTCCACACTAATTATCCCATAAAGACAGAGAAGTTGTTCTGTGGGGCAGACAAAGGGGCTTGGGATTTGGGGGAGGGGGAGAAGTGAGCTGGAGAGAGGGGTGTTATTGGGAAAATGGCAATATTGAAGGTAGAGAAGTGGGCTCAAAAATCTCCTGATCTTCTAAGATACCTGCAAGGTGTAGTACAAGAACCCCTCCTCATGGCTGCACCACAAACCTGCACATTTGACCTTATGCCCACTTCAGCCACACCAGTGCCCATAATTGGAATATCTGTGAGTCTCAAATTAGTTTGGATTTTACACTCAGATCGAAATGAATGAAATATCTGAGCTCAAATTCTGTCAGATTGTCATCCTCCAGATCTGTACTCCTTCCCCCAAAAGCTCCCTGAGCACCTCCTGCCCCTGCACATCTCCTTGAGCCTAAAGGCCCCACAAAGGGGCTCACAACATGGGAAAGCTCCACGCTATAAATCTTAGGAATGCCAGGGTGATGTGTTCAGAAATGTGAAGGAATTGGACCCTCACTTTGTGAATGTTAATAGGCTACTTACTCCCCATCTGGCAGAAGTGATAAATTAGCAGTACTGAGCAGTATCTCTATAATGTTTACATTAGAAGTAGTTTCCAGGGAGCTGGGAGGGTTGGCAGGGTGAGGAGGTGGCATCCTCAGCACCCACACAGGACCTCTCACTGCATGGTACATCATCAGTGTGGAGCAGGGCGAGAGCAGAGACAGAGACAAGAAATCACTGAGAGCAGCTGCTCTCTTTCTTTTCTGGCTAAAAAGCCAAATCCAAAAGATGCTCATTCCTGCTGCAGCCAGCACTTGTAATTTACTGGATTCATGGCCCCATTCGGAACTTCCAGTGGAAACAATATAAAATTTGAAGAGCAACATGGAAAACAAAATAAAATCTACAGAAAATTTGCCAATGAATTTTTTCTTTTTTTATTCATCGACAGTTTTTACTGGAAGACAGTTGTTTTCCAGAGTGACTTTCATGTCTGGAAAAACCACAGAACCTATGGTTTATGACAGAAACTGTTTCTTTCTCAGCAGGCTATAAAGGCAGTATGAAAAAGCTGATGACTAACGGAGATGGGACTTTAGATAAGAGATTTCTCCCTCTAAGTAATTTTCCCTGTGGCAAGAGTTTGCAATGTTAAACACAGGGCTCCAGCTTTTCTGGGAGATGCAGCAGAAGGCAAAGATGAGCTCTGATCCAACCACAAACATCCAATACAACAGCCAAAGGAAAACAAACCAACTCGCCAACTCCACTGCACTGTTTGGAAATGGCTTTTCCCCCCCAAAAGCCCCACTTCAGCACATTTGGAGCTTCCACCACCCTGCTCAGCTCCTCCTTGGGCTGGAATCTGAGCCTGGGCTCTGGCAGGATGGGCTCCAGCAAACACCAGGTCCTGCTGGCGCAGGCAGAGCAGCTCCCAGCACTGACCCCATCGCCAGCAGCATGAACTGTGCTCGTCTGCTCTGGGTCTGCCCTTCGCACAGTGAGTCTATGATGAGCTGGGAAAAAGCCTCCTTTCAAACCTCCCAGCAAGCCTTCAGCTAGGGCATCTATAGTCTGAGGGGGAAAGGCAGAGAACAAAAAGGGCACAAGACACCTAAATCAGAGAGGAAAGAGTGCTGTGCTGCCTGGCTCGTCCCTCTGCCAGAGAGGGATTCCTCTCAAACTTTTTTTGTAATTGCCATTTCCATTTCAATTGATTCCCATGGCAGGGAATGCTCCTTGGGGGGATTTCTACAGCCTGACAGATCATGGGAATAGGAAAATGTTGCTGATGTTCAAACTACACAGTCCTTTATTCAGCTTTGATCCCCTCTTTCTAGTCCCACAGCTCCGGGCAGTCTGCTGATGCTTCCTGGTTATTCCCAAACTGTCATTCCTGTGTAGGAAATGACCATTTCTTGTACCCATGTTCCAGAACTGGGGTCAGCCCTGGCAGACACATTCCTGCCCATGGTCACTGATTTGAGGCCAAGGGGCTGATTTACCCCAGCTATGGACAATACTGACCTGCAGGCACACACAGCAAGAGGCAGAGAAGCTCCTGCCACTTACCTGGCATGGGGGCAGGCTGAGCTGGACTTAATTCAACTTATCTCAGTTATTGGGGCTGGACATTTAGGGGGCAGCAGCAGCACAACCCACCTGAGCTGCACACAGAGGACAGAGCAGCCCAGCCCCTCAAAACAGAGTCTGCACTTTCTGTGGGTGCACAGCCCTGGGTATGGCTCAGCCCATCCTGGTGTCATCCTGGTGACAGTGTGACAAGCATGAGTCAGAACCCACTGGGACATTCCTGCTGTGGCCCCCCACAGCAGCTGGGCTCACCACAGCCCTCCCCATTGCTCCAGAAAGGTTTTCCTTGGGCACCCTCCAAGCTGAGAAACACCCTCCTCCTCAGCACACAGCCTGGAGGGGGAACACACCTGCAAACCCCACTGGGGTCCTGCAAAGCCCAGGGGACACTGGGGTGGCCAACAGAAGATAGACATGGAGCTGTAGGAATTAATCTAAAGGAGGCCACTAAGTTGGTCTGAGGGCTGGAGTCCTCTGCTCTGGAGCCAGGCTGGGAGAGCTGGGGGTGCTCACCTGGAGAGGAGAAGCTCCAGGGAGAGCTCAGAGCCCCTTGCAGGGCCTGAAGGGGCTCCAGGAGAGCTGGAGAGGGACTGGGGACAAGGGATGGAGGGACAGGACACAGGGAATGGCTTCCACTGCCAGAGGGCAGGGATGGATGGGATCTTGGGAATTAGGAATTGTTCCCTGGGAGGGTGGGCAGGCCCTGGCACAGGGTGCCCAGAGCAGCTGTGGCTGCCCCTGGATCCCTGGCAGTGCCCAAGGCCAGGCTGGATGGGGCTGGGAGCAGCCTGGGACAGTGGGAGGTGTCCCTGCCATGGCACAGGGTCGGACTGGATGAGCCTTAAATTCCTTCCCAACCTAAACCAGTCTGTGATTCCACAGTTCCTGGGGATCCTCCAGCCTTTCCACCCCCAGCAGAATCACAGCAGTGCTCTCTGCCAAAGGACGTGTCCATGGGAGGCTTTTTCTTTTCCAGAGTATTTTTCTTCCCAATCCACATACACATCCCAGGGTACCCAGTGCAGAGATTTTGATGATTTCTCTTTCCTGCTGTTGTTTTGTGGGATTAACTGCCCTCCACACCTAAAGGACAATATTTTTTTTTCTCCAACTCTAACAAAACTTGATGGAAAGCTGAAGGTTTCAGAGTTGCTGAGCTCAAGTCTCTGCCAGTGAGTGACCATTTGGAAAGGCACCTCTCACATTGGGTTTCCAGTTGTTTATTCCAGCTGGCAACCACAGACTAAAAGTAATGGAAAGTCTAAGAGCAGCAGCCCAGGACAGTGAGTAAGCACTGCAGACACCCAGGATGGAGCACGTCCACCAGGTCCTCAGCCACACTGGTCACTCCACACAGGAGATGCTCCACGTGGTTATGTGGGAACTGCAGGGCTCTGGTCCTTCTAGAAAAGGAACCATTTCACTTCTGAACCTGCCTCAGCAGCACAGAGTAAAACATGGAAAACTCACCCCTGCATCTGCTGGTTTCGTTAGTTTTCAAGCTTCCAAACTCAGATGCAATATATTTTACTGCCTATGAAAAATCTCAGTGTAGAGCCCATAGGTTGCTGTATAAAAATAACAGCACTAATTTTAGACAGCAGTGTATTGCATTCACCACTCTAAAAGGCAAATCCAAACCAAATCAGAAAAAAAAAAAAACAAAAAACTTCAAATATGAAAGCTTTGATATATCCACTTGGCAAAAAGCACTTTTCTACCAAATTCAACTCCCATTTTTTTCAGCTACTAGCAATATTCTTCCCCCTCCCCCCAAGATTCTCCATTTAATGGACAAAAGAAGTGTTTTAAACAAAACAAAAACAACTTTGATTTTCTTTCTTTCTGTAACTCAGCCCTGGAAACTCCAGCTCTTTTCTAGGAGCCCCTGAGCTGCTCCCGATCACACAAAGCTACCTTTTCTTTCCACTGGTAGCTGCAATGCAGAGGCTCTTGCCCTGAGTGCTGGAATGGAAGCAGCCGTGCAGGCTCGGACATGCTCTGCATCCAGAGAAACGCTGCGTGCAGGGCTCAGCCTTACCTTCCCCAGCTCCTGCTTTGTCCAGAGAAGCTGAAGGGTTTTCAGCAGTACGAGTGGGTCCTGGCCTGGAGGAGGGGGAAGAGAGAAAAGGAGAGAGAAAATCAAAACAAAACAGATTTATTGGCTCTGTAGAGTCAGCCCAGACACACTGGGGCATTGTTTCACCCCAGAGAAATCTGCTACTCCATGCTGGAAACCACCAAGCTCCAACTGCCAGTCAGGATTAGTGTGTAAAACCCTTCACTCTGAAATCCTAACAAAATCCCAGCCGGCAGCCAGGCAGGCTTTAACTCAGCAGCCCTGGCCGTGCTGAGCAGCTCCAGCCCTGCTGCCCACGCCACCCTCCGCAGGGCAGAGCGCAGGGTCCTGGACGGGCAGCGCAGCTGGCAGGGGTGAGCAGCACAGGACATTTTCATGCACGGCTCTGCAGTGGAAGCTCTTGGCCAGCTGGGATGGAGGAGGGTGACCCTGTGTGTGTTCAGGGCACTGCCCTGCCAGGCTGGACACCAGTGGGGCTGCAGTGGGATTCAGGCCAGAGGGTGCCTGAGGAAGAGGGAAGATGAAAGGCTGCTGTGATAAGTGGCAAGGCTAAACAAAGAGGGATCAAATATTTCAAAAAAAGGTTATTTGGAATTTTCCTCTTTTCGTCTAGCTATTGCAGAACTTGCATTCAGTTGTTCTTTTGTGTGTTATCATCCCTCATACAGTCACACCATTATTCATCACAGCAATATTCATCACACCAGTACTTCTAAAGCAATTGTTAGGAATATTTCATTCTAAAAGCACTAACATATTTGATATCTGATTCTACTTAATTCACAATCATTTACTTACAAAAACAAAGACACAAAATATTCTGAATGAAAATAATCTGCAGCATCAAGAGTTAAAATGTGAAGAATGAATTTAAAAATCTGAATGAACTCTCTAAACCAATCCTCCTAACGCACCTCCTCTTATGTTTTCATACAGCCAAAAGAAAAATGTTAAACTGAAAAGAAAACTTCCTTTTAATCACCTTCTGTGTTTTACAATTCCTAAAGAGCTTATTTCCAAATGCTAGATTTCATGCTCAGTATCTCATCGCACTTCATATTTCAGGTCACAAAAAACTCCTTCAGCTGTGAAAGGCTCTACCTCATCCAGCTGAACTCTGAGGCACTGCATTTATAAAATACTTGAAGTAGCAAGCTGATTACTGGTTGAGCCAAGAGCATGATAATATTCCCATTATCCACTAACCTCTGGGAAACACCAGCCAAATTAAAAATGCCACATTTACAATTCACAAGATAATATTTTCTCTCATCTCTGGTTGTTCTGAAATGCTGAACTCTCCAAACACTGGCTGTTCTCAGCTACCGCTCCTCCTTTGGAAAAAGAAAAGGCTCTTTTTACACCAAAACAGAAGAAAAGCCAGATCTCTTCTCCCCAGTAAATTAGCAAATTACAGTCAAATTCAGTCCATGTGTGTGTGCATATCTGCACACTCTCCTCTTGGCCTGACTCCCAAAGAAATTTATACACACAGACGGGAAAAAAAAGAGAATGCAACGCAGTGTGTAACCAAATACACTGTAAATCTGAGCTGTAATTAATGCAGGGAACAGGCTGGAATGATACAGGAAATGAGAGCAGTTAGGAGAGCAGTGTTTCACTTCACATACAACCAATAATTCAACTTGTTAAAAGCTAAACCTCAGTCAACAAACCCAGCCCTTTTCTTACTGACTGTTTCCTACCTTACCACCCTGCCACTGAAACCCGAGCTGATACAGCAGGAGGAAAACATCTCTGCAGTCAGTTCTAACCAAGCCACCAGTGCCAGCGTGGCACTGAGCAGTCACAGGAACACAGGGACACCTTCCCTGCCCCAGAGCTGGGCTCTGGACACACCCAGAGCCGGTTATTTCCACAGAGCACCCCTGGAGCACAGCATCCACTCCTCAGCACAGGAGGGACACGGACCTGGTGGAGACATTGCAGAGGAGAAGGCTCCAGGGAGACCTCAGAGCCCCTTGCAGTGTCCTAAGGGACTCCAGCAGAGCTGGAGAGGAACATGGGACAAGGGCCTGGAGGCACAGGACAAGGGGGAATGGCTTCACAATGACAGAGGGCAGGGACTGAACAAGGAGAGAAACTGAAAAATCTGCCGATGTCTGCACAGGGCTGTTCCCTTCCTCACCTGGTGAGGCTTCTGGGAATCCAAGGACGAGGCACAGTCAGGGGCTGAACATAACAAAAGAACCCACAAGCAGTTGCTCCCAGAGCCAGACATAAACAGGAGATCAAAGCCACCTCGTGTCCTGGGCTCATCCCACCAGAGGGAGGACACTGCAGCTCCTGCAGGACCTGGAGCTATTGCATCCAGTTGCTCTCCAGATGAGACAGAAGATGGAAATGTGAAGGTCTCCTGAAAGAAATGAACAATTCATCTGCTCTGTCTCCTGCAGGATCTCTTTGGAGGACTGTCCTCCTCACAGTTCTCCTGGCACCCCTAGAGAGTGAAAAATGAGTGTCTTTGACATGGATAATTAATGAATAACTACTGCTATACTTGGGCAGGACAGCAGACAGGCACCTGCCCATCCACATCCGAGAAGGAAGAAGAGAATCAGCAATAAACTAATACTAGGACATCCAAGGAAAAACACGGAGTTTCACAAGCCTTCCAGAAAAACCTGGAGATCTTGTGGCTGCTCCACACAGCAGGGAGTGAGGGAGAAGTACAAGGTAAGGAGGGATAAAGCAAAGTGACTGAAAACCAGATGGGCAGAACTGAACCACAAGGACATCTGGGCTCAGCTCTGGACAAGAACAAGGCAAATATGGGGCCAAAAAATGGGGCCATCATTCCCTCCAAGGACACCCAGAAGCTCCACTGCTAAAGAGAACTTCAGTCCTGCAGAGTCTCCTATGTCCTGGAGAGATATCCAGCTATTAGCAAGGGGCATTCTGTGAGCAAAATAAAAACAAGAAAAATAGCAAAACCAGAAAAAAAACAATAAAAAAAATCCCCAGTGTGGAAAGTCAGAGAAACCAGGTCTCCCTGCTCCAGCTTTGAGCAGCTGAGGAGGGTCAGGAGATGTGTCCCAGGCAGCTGAGCCCTTCCAGTTCCTAGACTGAGCTCAAGAGAAAGTGCTCAGTCTGACACTGACCCTTCACAGCTCCCAAAAAAGGGGGTTGCAGACCTTAAAACAGCTGGAAAAGCCTCACCAAATCAAGGTTAAAGCACTTTGGTGGAGATCTCAAAAAGACACATCTGCACTAACTCCAACAAGACACAAAAGACCTCAAGTTTTGGCACTGACATTTTCTCCCAATAGCATGTTCCTGTTTTAAACATTTTACATTAATATATTTCCTTTGAATGTTTTTCATTCTGAACATTAATGAGTTCTGCCCTGAACCTGGTACCAAAATTGCAGGAGATGGTAAATCAAATGTCTTCCAGTTCTCAAGATCTGTGGTTACATTTCAAAACCATATAAACCACAAGGCTTATATTTTTGAGTTAGAAAAGTGCCTTTGAGGAAAACCATAAACTACTTTCTGTTCATTCTCTCCATTTCCTTTGTGCATCTGTCACTCAAACCCTGCTGTGATCACAACAAAAGCGCTGCCCGGGGGCTGGTGAGGTAAGCACTGGATTTGCTGGTGAGGTTTGTAGTGGTGTCCTTGCAAAATTCTGCTGCATTATTCACCAGTGCAGCTGAAACCCAGTGACAAGAGAACCCCCCGTTCTGACTGAGCCTCCTCTTACCTGAGGAAAGGGTGACATCCAACCCCAGAGGAGGAATTTCCCAAGGAAAAAACCCCCTGACACTTTTTCTTTGTGCCCAAAGCCATTAAATGCCTTGTAGCCCAAAACCTGGACAAATTACAGTCAGCAGAAGAAAAGATACTCAATGACAAAAAAAGCAGTCTCAAAGAAGGTAGAAAAAGTGAATGAAATGCAAGGTCACAGCCCCCATACTGTCACAGCTGAAAGTCATGGACAGGAAAAGTCAAGAACAAAATATTAATTATGAATCACAAATTTATGGAATCACAGAACCTCTCCCAGCAGTTCCACGCCACACAAACACACCCTCTCTGCTCCCTCCTGTCACTTCCCACTTACACCAGTTACAAATCACAGCAGAAGGAGGGAATAAATTGCCAACTAATCCCAGCACGCTGCAGAAGTTGAAGCCTGAAAGCAAATCTGATCACTCTGATCACCCTCACGGAGGAGCTCCTCACTGTTCTCAGTGAGAAAGTAAAGTTTGGTTTTCACAAGAGCAGGACCCACACAGAGCAGCTGCAGGGGACAAACCTGACACCTCAAACCACGGTGTGGGTGGACAGGAAACACCGGCCGAGTGTCTCCCAGAGCTGTGCTCCAGCAGTGCCTCAAGTGTCCCAGGGGCTGGGGGCTCCTCCAGGCCAGTGGGAAAAGTCTTGCCTGAGGTCCCCAGTCCAATCAGTTCAGATTAATGGGACCTTTAAAATAAGAATGGGTTTCTCCACTGCACTGGAGATCCTGGACCCAGAAGACCCCAGGGATGAGAAGCTTGGTGCCCCAGCTGAGGTGTGAACCTGTCCTGGCCCCCAGGAGCTGGGACACACAGAAAGCCTCAAAGATCACAGAATCATGGAATCACAGAATGTCCTGAGCTGGAAGGGACCATCAGGATCACCCAGCCCAGCCCCTGTCCCTGCCCAGACCCCCACCAAGCCCACCCTGGGCATCCCTGGCAGCGCTGTCCAAAGGCTCCTGGAGCTCTGGCAGCCTCGGGGCCGTGCCCATTCCCTGGGGAGCCTGGGCAGTGCCAGCACCCTCTGGGGGAAGAACCTTGCCCTGATCTCCAGCCTGAGCTGCCCTGGCCCAGCCCCAGCCGTGCCCTGGCTCCTGTCCCTGAGATTGGTGCTGTCCCTCTGCTGCCCTACAATGGTTATGTTTTCTTTCGGCAGCCAGCTTGTCCCCCTGTCCTTCAAGTTAATGAAATTTTAATAAATGTTTAATGGAATACCCAGCCCACCCAGTAGACAATCAGTGAATTTTTACTATTACTTATTGTTTTGTATGCCTTCTGCCCCAGTAAATCGCTGGAATCTGTTCTCAGTGAAAACTTCTGCTTATCTTGACATGTCTTTGAGATGTATTTCTGAAAGGAAAACTGAAGTTCAAGGTATTTCCACGTCCTCCTTAGGCCAGGTGGCTCATTTGGACTTTAAAACTCCAATACCTCAATAAAGACAATGCACAAGCTGGGGGTTTGAGTGAGCAGAGCCATTCACCCTCTCCTGTTCCAGCAGCAGGAGGGGCACACCCACTCTGGGTCATTTAAATTGCATTTGTGGACAAATAAATTGTGCGTTATGTGTGAATTAATCAAAATCTCTTATCCAAACCTAGCTTGTCTCAGTTTTGCTCAGAAGTGGCTGCAGCTCACAGCAGGTGTGTGCTGGATTTGCAGAAGAACAGGCACAGAAATAATATCACTTACATGGAGCAAATGGATACATTTTCTAGTGCCTAAATTTGAACTGCTGAGGACAAGCTGATGTAATTAAAAAGGTACAAAATTCCTCTGTAGAAACCCACTGATTGTGACACCTTCCAGCTGTTCATTCTGTGCCCCCTTTAATGAGCACATGGAACATTAATAAACCTTTCAGTTTATTATTAGGAGTCAGCACATGGTGATTGATCCCATCCCCACTGACTGCAGTGATGAGTCCCCCACTAAAGACTGAAAGCAGCCAGAGGTGCCCCCTGCACTGCTCAGGTAGCAGTGCCTGCAGGGACAGGGAATGCTGCCAGGACAGGCTGCTCCATTTCCACCACTGAATCCAACAGAGCCAAATTTACAAGAGGATCAGATGTCACAAAACTGTTTCATTTCAGAAACAATACATTGCTCTGCTTTAGCACCATCTCCAGAGCTCCAAGACTCTCTTCCCATCTCAGCAACCCATTCCTTCACTGTGCTTCGCACAGAAGGCAGATATGCTTGAGAATGTCTAACTGCATTTAGCTGAACTCTCGCAGCAAGCAAATGAAGCAAGAAGATGGAAAGAGTCTTTGTTACTTGGCCTGTCTGGCTCACTCCAGCCTTGGCTCCGTGTCCAGTTCCAGCTGCTGTTTGCTGATCCGCAGAGCTTTGAACTCGGCTGCACCAAGCCCTTCCCATCTCGGGAGGGAAGGAACCACACCAGCGACCACAGCCCCGAGCTCCTCACAGCACACAGCACACACCTCCCCTGCAATTTGAACATTAAAGACAGAGCCTTTGGGGAGGTCTGGGAGTCCAGGTTCACCAAGGGAAAGAAAGGCATTTCTTACTTGTTCCTCCAGCTCTTCATCCACACATTTGATTCCACTTTCTGCACTAATGCAATCAGTGGGAGGATCTACATCAGACAGGAAGGGAAAATATCCCAAAATGTGCTGAGTTCCTCACTTGCAATCACCTGACTTTGAACATCAGCTCATTTTCAATCACCAGAAACCTCGTGTAAGATGAATGGTTCCACACATCTTCATTCATCGACCAGCTGTGACTGCTCTGCTTCTCCAGCCCTGTGACGACAGCCACCTCCTGCTCGCCTGTCCCTGTGGCCTCTCTACAGCAGATGAAGATTCCCACAGCTGGGATTGGTTCTGAACTAAAGGGGTCACATCACCTAACACACTGCCACAAGCTGGCCCAGCCATCCCTGGGAACTGCAGAACCACTTTATGTTTTGTTCATAGGCCAGATGAAAAGTCAGCTCAGAGTGATTTCCCCAGCCCAGTTCTCTGCCTGTATTGAGAGCAGGGGCAAAGCTTTATTCCAATCCAACTGAGATGGCTGTTTCACTCAGCAGGAAATATTTTGCTTCACTTTAGGGAGATCAGTATCTAGAGGCTTATCTTTTTGTGGCTCTTTATCATCATCCAGACAGACTTGGTTTAACAGAAACTTCTAACTCAGTGATGCACCTTGCAAGGTACAGGCCAGCAACTTCTCCACGAGACTCTGCTTTGGAACTACTCTGTTAATGTGCCAACATGCAGCCATGTATCACAGAATTAGTCCTAATGAATGTGTGTTCTCTAGTGCCCTTGCATAAGCTTACACCAAGCACACAACCACAGAATGGCTGGGGCTGCATCTGGCTCTGCAGGCAATCTCATCTCATATTCCTCACTTGGTTCTTCCAGACAAAAGCCAGAATTCCTCAGGTGCCATTAGCTGAGCCCACACTTTCCTGGGATCACTCTGTGAAGCCGTACCTTGTCTGTGCTGCTGACGACATCATTATTGAAAAAGCAGAATTAGGAGCTCAAACAGAAATATGGGGGAGAATGAGGTGCACAGGCAGAACATGGAGAAACTGCCCTGCTGGAGAGGGAAAAGGGAAATGAACAGTGTATTGAAAGCA